TCCTAGACAAATCAGCAAAAATAATAATTGAACCATATTTCTACTAATATTCTGTAGAATTTTTTTGCTATCCAGATAGTGCAACAAAAAATTAAAGAGTAGTAGCTAGAGAGAGATGAAAAAATTTGGAATTCGTAATAGTAAAACTTCTAACACCTCCTAGGTAAAAAAATCCTCCATCATTTGCAGAACCTTTGCCAGCATCTAAACCTCCATTACCTCCAAGAGAAAAACTGCAACTATCAAAAACTATGTCACATTCAAAGCAATTTAATGCTAAGAGTCCTCCTCCATAGTACGATACTGTTAAATTAAATCATACATTGTAGAATGATATATTTCCTTGAGCATTATCAGTCAGTTCTTACATAAAGTAGAGAAATCCTCCTGCATCATTTACAACAGTGCTTTAAACAATTAAATCTTCAGCTCTAAGTGAAATTGCACTAACGACAAAGATAAAGCCACCTTAATAACTAAAAGTTTAGAAAATTTCTGATCCCTTCATTTTAATTACACAGCTTTCACAATATATAGCTCCACCTTAAGTTCCGGATAGATCTAGATAGATGTTAAAAAATTATAAAAATATTACTAGTAAATTTTGAATTTTCATCATTAAAGACTGAGTTCTTTTATAAATAAAACAGACCACCTTAAGACTTATCAAAAATGCAGTTACTATAGTTATTTCCATTTGAATAGATTAAAACATAGCCATTCATGGATAGAGTATAGAAGACTGAATTATACCTCTATGAACTTCCCATAGCATATTGTATTAACTATGAAAAATTTTAGGCAGCCAGGTCTTAGCAAATAAAACTATTGTTTTGCATTACTAGAGTCAAATTATTTGTAGAATTGGCAAATATAATGAGACCATATTATTATCCCCAAAACGACTCAAATGTACAGTCATTTATATACAAAGAAGTATAGCCTGAAGAATAAATATTCAAAATTCCTCCATTTCCATTTTCCTAACTGCTAATTCTTTAAAATACACAATTAATAGCATAGACATCTATATTTCCTCCGATGTAATGTAGAAATCCTCCTCCACTTTTGTTGAATCTATCAAGATCATAGGTCATTACTCCTGCATTGAGCTTTTCAATAAAACTATCTTTTATGATGATATTGAAGTTTTGGCTATCATCAGCCTCGATTGCGACTATACCACCTTTTATTTTAACATAAACTAATCCAATTTAGTATTCTATAAATGACAAACTGATGGTATCATCAGTGGGGGTTGTGTATTTTAAAAAGAAGGCTCCACCGTATTAGCCATATGCATAGATAAAAAGTGGCTTGTAAACTATGAATTGAAAACAATTCTCACAATATATTGCACCTCCATAGACTGCTGCACAAAAAACATGCATTGAACTTCAATCAATCAAAGTACTGTTTTTAGATATAAGACTTAGAGATGATCCCCTGAATCCAATACCGCATTGCTCAATATTATGAGAATTAGCTATGTATGCTGCATTTGATTTTGATTCTAAGTAAATTAAACTTCCTTCATAGCTATTTGTTGATTTAATCTTCTCAATCAATTCCGTGACCTAACTTACAATTGTCTCAACATTGTCTGAATCATCTATAAGTTTCACATAACTATAAGCTGTGCAAGTTGTTGTAGAACTTTCTATTTCAAAACTAATATCTCCAAATTATTTAATATAGAATCCTTTTCCAGTTTAATTAGCATCGATATTTTGCAAATTATTTTATCCTAGTTTGACATTTTGTAATATCTAGATTTAATCATTAAGTGATTATCCATAAATGATTGAACCTGATCCTGATGCTAAAATATTAGATCCCACTAATGATTTCATTAAAATCAAACTTTGTCCTAATCCATTTGAGTCTATATAGAGAATGCTGCCATTTCCATTAGTTGAAATATTTTATATTATTGAATTTCGGAAGAGAATATTAAATTCTTGTTATTAATTATTGGTTGTCTAGTGTATTCTTTGAAGTTTAAAAATAGTTCCTTTACCCCCTTTAACGTTTGAAATGTTTAAGTTATTTCCAATTAGTATATCTTTAGCAACAAGTACAGTAGGTTCTAAATTTATTTGAAAAACAGAGTTGAAACCTATATGAAGTTTATAATTTATAAAATGCATTACCTATATCTAACTAAGAATTGATATGTTTTATTTTGCTATCATTAATGTAAATGTCTTTTGTATTAAATCTAAAATAATCTTTTGAATGACATCCTTTGCAATGGAGATTAGAGAGAGATATATTATTCAGTATAACTAAATCATGCACAGATTAAATTTCATCATCACTTAACAAGAAAATTAAACAAAAGCTAGAATTCTTACTAATGTATATTTAGCAGACAAGTTAAGTAATGTGAATCCTAACCGAAATTCATATCCTTAAATGTAACGTTTTAAATAATCAAGTCCTTAATAAAGGATTAGTTTTAATCCGAAAATGAAATAACTGAAACTATTGAGCCATCCTTTACTCCATCTATAATAATTACAAAAAAAGTGAATACAATAGAATATTTGGGAAGTATCAAGAGTCATTAGACTTTATTATAAATTTGGAGATATTGTGTTTAAAAATTCATTGAGCACACCAACCAAATTACTGAATACAGAATTTTAAATCACAAAGGTTCCATAAAAATTTTCAACAGCCAATTCCTGAGCTCTGTTTAAATCAATCATCGATGACACAGACAAAAGCCAATTATTATGAAAAGTCATCTGATCTAAATATAAGTAATTGCATTGATAAATGGCAAGTGATGCTCTATGGTCCAAATTTATAAGTTCAGGGACAGTAGTAAAGATATCCATTACAGTTTGAGTTAAATCTTCATCCGGAATCAATAAGACATCAAACAATTAGTTAAAATAGAGTATCAGTTCATTTAAATTTTCTCCATTTTCTTGATATGTTTCATTAATTAATCTTAGTATCTGTACTCCTGTAATGTCTACAATACCCTTACCCATAGAGGCGAAATTCTAAATATACCTGTTTGATTTCACTGTAAAATGATCCATGTCAATATTCGAGGTTGAATTATCTAAAAATTTGATCTCAACCAGATTAGAATTGAATATAAAGTTTTTGTAGTCAATACTTTTCCAAATTAATCTTTGAGGCATAGATTCTATAATTAAAGGATCGTTGTTTTATCTAACTAGAGCCGAATCATTTCTTTTTATTTAATAAATGTCGTTACTGACACCATCATTTGTTAAGCACTCGTACTAAAATACACCACCCCCAAATTTTGCACAACCATAATTCAATTCAAATTAATTATTAGTTACATGTATTCCTTTACATGATTTCACTTCCTAAGGATTTACTTAGTATAGATTTACTTGAACAAAAGTCCTGATGAACACAGCAATATTAGCAAAGTAGCCTCCATTATGCTTGAATAAATTATCTGATAACACTATCGCATTATTATTTTTAGGGTCTTCATCATTTTATATGTATATTAGACCTTTTACAGAGGTGTTATTTAAAAAAGTGTTATTTCTCATTACTATTAGTTGCTTGAGGCCTAAAATTGAAATAATGTTGGAAATTTATGGGTGAGTCCTATTCTTGAATATTGGGTAAATAGAATCGTCCAAATTAGTTATTCCATTGTAAATTTCACTTGATATTGAGCAGCTCTAATAGGGTATTTTGAAGTTGTTAAAGTTTGAATTTTCAATATTTACATTTCCAGAATAGTTTTTAAGATTTATTACCGAAGAATAGAATTACATTCCAAGAGTGGGATCAACAAACACAGCATTTGACAATTATTTTCTCATAAAGTAGAAATTTTAGAAGTTAGAACCATATATCTTTATTTAGTGGCATTCAATTATGCTACAATTCAATTAGGTCTGAATGTTTTCATCCGGATAATTTCTTTTAATCTCTTAACTGGCATAGTTTAGTCGATAATTATATATTTGGTTTGATCTTGATTGATGCATATCAATGAATTCAGGTGTAAAATTGAATTTAGATTAAAAGTTTCGAATTATTGCACCACATCCACTGAAGTATTGGAAAGTTGTAAACTCGATAGTTATTTTTCCAGCTCTCTGATCATCCGTTTAAATAAAGGTGTTGAAGTCGAATATGAAATTTGAGAAAACAACATTCTGATATATTATTAATCTTTAATAATTTTACCTTGAATTTTAAGATAGGAATGAAATTTAATGGCAACAGTCCTGTGTATCCAAATTAAAACACTGATATTCCATCCGCAGCCAAACATCTCTCTCTACTACATTAATATTAGTGTTTAAATAATTATTTATTACGTTGGTTTCCATAGCTGATTCTATGGATTTAAGCAAGGAGTACTTGTTAACGATTTTATTTTGCCTCCATCATTTTAGCAGCATATTATTTTAGAGCTCAAACAGTTTGCAGGATCATTATGCCTTGAAATAACTGAATCTAAACTATCGATTACTATATCTTGGATTTCTAGTCCCTAACCAACTAAGAATTTCAATTTATCCCTTCTTTTATTTATGATTACGACTTTTTCAGTAACTTTTGAATAAGGCTTGATTATTATATCCCAACTCTAATGCCTCTTGTCAACATTCCTTGGTAAGTAGTAGTCCCTTAAATTATTTAGAAGATAATGAGTAGTGCCATTTTGATTTAAGAGATATATTGTTACTTTAGAATAGATATAGGATGAACTCAACTCATATGCTTTTTCTAAAGCATCTTCAAGATCTCCAAATGCATCAGATATAGTCCCACTAATAGCCTATACTGATTTTGCTGTATCCTTGTTTGTTATATAGATTTCGAAATTTGCAGTGGTATTTTCTTTATCTATACATTATCCATAGCTTTATTAAAATGATTCCTTTCTTAAGTATTTTTTATTTTCACAACTTATGCAATGAATTTCTCCTCCATTAACACAATCATGGCAATTATTATGACATTTTTTACAATAGGATTATTTTATTAACCCCCTACTCATATATTGAACTACTCCATAATATCCTCTAGGGCATTAAGATATACATTCAGAATATCCATCCAAATGAGTAAATATAAAGCCATTTAAACATGCAATGCAGTTAATCTAATTGCTATTAAGAGTTACATCTATTTCACAATTCGCACAATCTTAAAAGTAATTCTTAGATTGTCCTAATTGCTTGTTACAATCTAATAAGAATTTTTAACTGAAAAAAATATTCTTACCCTAGCACTGGATAGTTTTTTAATCTTCGTATTCAACAAGACTTTTACTTATAGGTGTGTATTTTTAAGAACAAGTCATACAATCAATTGATCCAGGACACTCAAGGCAATTCTCATCATAACACTTAAAGCAATAGTTGTTAAACAACCCAAATCCATCATAGCATGCTGAGCATTCAGTGTTACACTATTCCTTGACGCATAGTGTCGGATTAAGATGGCAGGTTTTACAGCTATTAGAAGAGTCTTAACTGAAGCCAGTTACGCAAGTCAAGCATGATTCGATATTATCATCTTTACAGGTAAGACAAATCTTATCTTTAGAGCATTTTCTACATCATCTAAAGTTAGAGTAAGTATTTTCCTCATTAGTTATTAAAGAATTAGCTATTGCAACAAGATCACCTGTTTGTCTTGCTAAGCACCCTTCACATCCATATTTTAGAGTACAAGATTGGCAATGGAGACCACAATCTATCCAAAAATTAATAAAATTACTATTGATTACCTTAGCATTCTGATGTAATCGGATTATTAATAAACTAGTGGTGAAGCTAATTGCAATCACTGATACAGAAAGTAAAATGACTAGGGTATATTCCCTCATCAGATTAAGTTAAATTTTTCAGCAAATAAAATCCATCTTAGCACTCAGTACACTAGGTGAATAACTGGCCTTAGGAATTGACTTCTTCACAGAAATTACAGCCATAAATTTGACCCGCGCATTCTATTTTGATAAATATTGAGAATGTAAATATTACTGATGCATATTTTCTTTTCTGAATCATAGTATTCATTAGAGCTACCTATAGCAAAGTATGACGCTAGATTCAAATATTTACAACTTTTAGTATGAACTACTTCAACCCAAAAGAGTACTTATGAAATTACTAAAAGAACAAGTATATTCATTTTTATAAAAAATATTAAGAATTAAATCTTCGAGCGATCTCGCTTTTATGATGTAAAATGTCTGTATAAATTTATAATTTCAAATTTAATTCTTCTTTTTAGGCTTAATGGGGTTTTGGGGTTTTGGGG